GGTCGGGGGGGTGTTATCAAGAGGTGAACATATCTTTCAATTTTTCCAAATTCAAGAATAATCGCATAATGGATGTTATCAACCACCTCATTTTCCACAAATCCCTCCTTGCACAACATCCTCAACTTGCACGTTCAAATCTCCTTACATCAAGTAACTGGTGGCATCCGCTCAGACGTTTTTGCACGACATCTGCTCAGACGTTTCGACACAGCACATCTTGTCAAGACATGGCTCACCTCCCGATCGCATCCCCCCCGACCAACCTCCTGATATTCAAGTAATCCTAATTGTCGTTATAAAAATTCGCCAGCGGGGGGCGGTTGGGGGGGGGAGGGGCTATAAGAGAGAGAGCGTGTTTTTGTCTGGCCGAGAGGCATCCATATACACCAACCCCGACGACAATAATTGGGCGACCTTGGCGGGAATGATCGATTTCGATTCGAAGCCTGAGGAGAAGGTGTCGGCGAAAACTACCACTGAAAGCGGAACTGACAAAGCAACAAACAATGAGAAATCTGCAGGGGCAGCTTCTCTAGTAGTTAACAAGCCGAAGTCCAACAAAGCCATGGATCCAACTCGAAGATGCACCTACACAACCCTGACGGTGGAAAACAAACGATAGTTGATACAAATGAAATTAACGGTGGTCCATGACATGCTCCTCAACCTGGAGCAGTGGCTGCAACCGGAGTGGTGTCTACTGAATGGGGGGAGTTTGTCTTTTACTGAGTTTAACAGCTGGAGGAATAAGCGACTGTTGGATGGATGGTGAGAAACGGGACTCTCGAACTCTCGAAGTTGAGCTGCTACGCAATTGTCCAACGCTTCATATGTTTGGTCGGATTGATTTTGATGATGTTTTGTGGCTTGCTCTCAGTTGTCAAATCCTTCCTTGAAATCCTTCCGGCCCATGCGGATGGGCGGGTTTTGCTGCCTRCCCTAATGTGCCCTCCCCTATTTCCCTCCACGACCGCCCCTTTTCCCCCTTTCTCTCTTTTTTCCTCCGTTCAGTGACCCATTATAATTTCATCATCACTCTTTTTGTCTCCTCTTTCATATTTATTCTTGTTCCTCCTTATCGCTCGTTTCCTTATTATTATTATTATTATTATTATTATTAATTTATGGTTGTTTTGTTGGTTTACTATTGTTACTTTTGAAACATCATGAATTAAGCAGGGGTCATAGATGAAAAGAGGTATGGGGTGTTAGAGAAGAGAGATACAATTTTATGGTGCCTACCTCCTCTGTCCTCCTCCATTCTTATCCTTGTTTGACCTTCTCAGGCTCCAGTCCTCTCAACTATAAAAGCCTGATAATGATTTTCAATGAGATAATCATGATTTTTGCTAACCTTAAAATCCCGAACAACCAAGCACATTAAACTAAACATGGCTGATAAAACATGGCAATTGTGGGAGCTCTGCCGGAGTTCAGGAGGAACTCTGGAGGCAGAGAACCACAAGGTACGCATTAATTTATCCTTTCTCTTATCCCTTACCAGTTACAACTTTTTATCGGACTGCATGAATGAATGTGTGCTATACATGTTCTTGTTTTCTTTAGGAGTAAAACTTTCAGAAAGGGTGAATGAACATATTAATGAAGTAAGAACCTTGCATGAAGTAAGAAATGAACCTAAGAGGGCCGATAAGGAACCTAGTCTGCTTGGGTTTGGGAGACAAAGCCGTGTGATGGAGGCTCCCGTGGAGTCGTCACACTGCTTGCATGAACTGACTAAGGTAAATGATGAGATACTCTCATGCGAATTACCCTGTCATTCACCCGACTAAGTAACGAGTTGATGAAATGTTTGTTTGGCTTCAGTGTTGGTGACGGGAAGCTACCGTGCGTTTTCTTTGTTACCTTACGGACTAGACCTAGAAGGTAATCCGGTACTCCCGTGGGGTACATTGCTTTTAGGCTAGGACGACTAACATTCAGAGGTAGTAGGAGGCTCCCGTGGGGCTCTCCTATCATCTATCGGACTAAACTTGAAAAAAAATGAAGTACTCACCGTGTGAGTACACGAACTCCTAAGTCTAGGACGAACCGTCCGACTGAAAGGTGGAAAAAGGGGGGTTCCCGTGAGAACTACCTTATCTTCAGTTTAATGTTTTTCTTGATATTGAAAAAAGGGGTGAGGAAACAGTTTCATACAAACTATTTCCGCCACTAACTGAAATATGCATAGCGAAAGCTAAGACGGGTGAGGACTCCCGTGGGGTCGACATACCTCTTGCTCATACACGATGCATAGGCAAAATAGGTGAACGGTCAAAACAACTTAAGTAAGAGTTGTTTTGACTGATCTCCTACGCATTAAACTGGTAGTAGGATAACTCCCGTGTGGTCATCCTAAATATTTGGAGATCAACTAACGAGAGAAAAAATGAGGTGATTGTGTTTTGACAGTAGAGGGATACTCTCGGGTGACTAACCCTACTACTTGTTTGGGTATGACTGATTAATGGCATGAGTAATTACTAACGATCTATCTGTTTAACATTGAATCAGGTTATGGGAGACTCTCGTGGGGTCATCATATTACAAGCTCGGACATGAGCTGGTTATTAATACGAGAAAGGGAAGAGATCACCTTACTATTCATTTTCTGATAACCTACTTACACCTGGTTTATCTATTAATCGAATGAGCAATAGACAAACTTCCGTGTGGGTCGCCCTAAGGACATACTCGAAAGATAAACTATTTACTACCCAAGGAAGGAATAGGAAGACTCTCGTGGGGTCATTCTATTGCTTGTTTGACTCTACCTTAACAAACCTAATAGGATACTCTAGCAAAAGGAGGACCTGGTGTTTGCTTATGTCCACTAACTTAATCCTAGTTCGTCTACCCTTGAGAAAGTGGTAGTGTAACTCCCGATGGTTCATCCTATTACGCTCTTGAGGATAAACCGGGTTTTGATTAAAGAGTAATTGGGGATTTCCGTGAAGGCCACCTATTGCTAATTTGAATTTTATATTAATCTTTGATAAGAGGTGGTATGAATTCTTGATGAATGTTGGAACAAGTGTTGAAAGTGCCTCAACAAAGTATTCTCAACTACTTGTTGTAACTAATAAAGGGATACTCTCATGTGAGTTATCCGGTCGCTTGCATAAGATGGTTTGAAAAAATTGATTGCATAAAGACTGCATGAATTTTGAAGGGTAGTTGAGTGTTCCCGTGGGGCTATTCGACTACTCGTTTGACTAACCGTTTTGTTTGGAATTTATCAAGTAGTGAAAAATTCTCGTATAAATCAGTCCACTAGATGGGAGTGACTCTAAATATCATTAAAAAAAACAAAATAAAGGGCAAATACTGCGGGGGGAAAAAATTAAAAAAGAAGAAGTTCCACGTAGCCTCAGTTCATTGATAAACTCCTAAAGGAAAAACCGCCACTGGTATGAGTTGATCTCAGCCAGACTACCACATTAGCACCAAAAGGAATGTGCTTACCAGGATGAGAGAAAATAAGAGGATTGAAAATAAAAATCGTTTCCTTTTAAACGATCTAGGACGTGGGCATGGATCGCCTTTAAAAGGAGAAAGAGACAGACTGAAGGGTTTGCAGGAGTAGTAGTAAGAATTGAACTTTGGGATATTATTCCCAGGGTTTGCGATCTTCATCTGAGGGTCTGACCCTCGAAAAACGATGAGTGAAAAACGCGGAGGGGGTGTTGAATTGTTGTTGACTTGTGTGTGTGCAAGTCTGGGCCCATTTTACTGCTGCATTTGAAGGAACGGATCTACAAAAGGATCCAAACTTTCTATCATTATTCAATAACAGATCGATTGTTACCGATTTAACTTTTCCCCCATGACTTGACACCCACATCTAAAGACAAACCCCGTGGTCAGTAAAACTGTCACATTTGGTCATTACCTAAATGGTCCTAGTCACTCTCAAGGGTCCTTTGAAGAAATGTGAGGGGGCTGGGCTTACGTCTCAGGGAAGATAGTGTTATTATATATGGTTTGAGGATTGAGGGACAATGTCAGTGGCTGATGGTTGACGTCGTTAGTGCATGGCATGTGAACTGTCTTTGCATTATTCTGTGCAGGTCTATCTTGTGCGTGGTTTGGATTGAACTAGGCTTGACCTCGTGAAGAGTCTTGAACACACAACACTTGTGAAAGTGGAAAGGGTTATCAACGGTAATACCTTTATATTCATTATTTGTCCTATATAACTTTTGTAATATTTGATGTTCAGTTAAGTCATGACCTGTCAAGTAGAATAAAATGTCATAGGTAGTAAGATAATTTAATTGGTAACTTATTCCCTTTTGGCAAGAGAGTAACACATTTTATATTCAGAAATGGATATAGACAGCCTTATGAAAATTTGACTCGAACATCTGGAAGTCCAGGATAGGAAAATCACATCCTGAATTTGACTTGACTAGCGGGTCAGTCCTAGGCGTCTTACCGCGCGTACCCCATTCCTATGCTGCGACGATAAAAAAAACGTCATCGTCCGACCTACCTCTACAGAGGCATGTAAAAGTCTTCGCATGTGGGCCGGTAGCTCAGTAAGGATACGCCTACCTAAGGGTGGTGACAACCCCTTGGGTAGAGGTAAGTTGTACCTCACGACGCCCCGACCTGTCGTGGGGTATCATGAGAGGTATAGCACGCGCGCACGGTCGAAGTGGTGACTGATTCTTTTTCAACTCTCCGAAGAAAAATTCATGCGTGACACGACCGTGAGGTTCAGCGCTTCCAGCTAGGTGCGGGACCGCCGCGCGCGACAACGGGATGAAAGCAAAAACCCGCGAGTTATCCCCTCGCATCATGTCCTGCATAGACAACAATCTTTCCAGCATGAAATAAACAGATGCGAACCGCGTCTCGCAGGAAAGAATAAGCCCCTTGTCGGGGTGCGCCTCTTAAAAAAATGAAGGGCGGTCTGGTGGGTTTTGAAAAACACCACCAGCACACGAGCGCGTGTGATCGTGTTCAGAAACACGTCACAACTCGTCTCCGTGTCTGACAACGATTTGTTGCAGACATGGACGGAGCACGGGAGCCAAGTGATCCTCCTCAGTGCAAGAGGCATGGTCGGCGAGGCCATTGCCCTTGCAACCCTCACGTACGCAGAAGCGGAGTCAGTGCATATCGCATTGGCCCAATGCGGCCCAACGAACCTGAATTCGTGGAAGATGGTAACCTATCTCCGAAGGACGTGCTCTGCATCGTCCGACTCGCCTCTTGATTGATCGTCATGTACATGACCACCCCTGGCGAGCATGCGGCAAGGAAATTCACAATCAGTCTTTCGTCTCGTGATTGCCTCCCGTCAGAAAGGATGAAAGCATCAGTCACCCAGAATGGCTCCCTCACCTCCTCCAACTCCTCCGCCAACTCCGCATGGTGGGTCTCCACCGCCCACATACTCACAATCTCGCTCTGGCTGGGGAGCACAACGCACGGGGAACTGCCAGGCTGCTCAAGAAGCACATGTTGATATGCCTTCCATGCCTGGTTGAGGAACACATTGAAGGAGACCCCGCTGGAATAAAGCCAGCAAAGGAAGACTTTCTTGTGGCGAGCAACCGACGTGCCACCATAGACCTCAATCACCTTCTGCTGGCGAAGCCTTTTTCCAGCTTGGGTGGCATCCGGATCAGTTCCTCCTTCCTTCCTCTTTGAAGGATCCTCTCCACTCGTACCCTCCGTTGCAGACACATGTCCCTTGCCTGCTTGCCGCAGCCAGTCCATCCTCTCTCCAGTGGCTGAATGAAACTCTGACACGTCCTCGTGTCCCGAGACTCCCTCCTCGCACGGGCCACGCGCCTCACGATCGACGTGCATCACGTCCTCCTCCGTGTCACCACCTCCACCCCCCAATGGGCGGTCGGGCGCACCCTGCCTACCATCTCCCCTGCCCCCTCCCTCCATCGGACGCTGCCCACCCTCTCCTTCCCTTGCACCACTGACCCGGGGCATATCAAGTCCATGCTCCCCTGCGTACCTGCCAACCCTCTCCATTTGATCGGACTCGAACTTCTGTTGAGTCCATCGTGCGATCTCGTACAATGCCTCGTCGTTGACGTCCTTGCAGTAGTTCATCTGGACGAAATGCCTTGTGGCCTGGTACTGAGTCCCCTGGAATGTTTTCTTGCAAAACGTGCAACGCAGCATCATCACCCCCTTATTGTCGACCTTGTGGCCGATGACAAGGTACCAATACACAAGGGAGCGGCCCCTGAATGTCTCCTGCACATGCTCCGGGCCAGGCTCATGCTGGGGCCATTGTGTCCTCTCCATGGCGACCGCCCTTTACCCTGCTTCGATGTGACGGGGCCTCGCCACGTTATTGTCGACCTTCTGGCCGACGACAAGGTACCAATACACAGGGGAGTGGCCCCTGAATGTCTCCTGCACATGCTCCGGGCCGGGCTCATGCTGGCACCACTGTGTCCTCCCCATGGCGACCGCCCTCTACATTGCTTCAAAGCGACAAGGCCTCGCCACCGCAACCCCCCCCCCCCCCCCCCCCCCCCCCCCCCCCCNACAACCAGTGAATTGAGAGATCTAGAGAGCACACAAGAAACAACTGTAAGGTGAAAAAAGAAGAGAGTTATGTAAGGGAAAACAAAAAGAGTGATCTAAGGGAAAACAAGACGAGTGATGAAAACATCACACAGGGCACCAGATGGAGTGAAAGGGGACAAAGAGGGAGGGGTGACGGGGGAGGGAGCATCAAGGCCTTGCACCATAGCCCGCCCATTCGAGGTGGCGACGGCCGGAAGAAGACGGAAGGATTTGACTGAGAACCACAGAGCATCATCACATCAATCCAGCCGAACGGATGGAGAGATGGACAACTCCATAGCATATCAGCTTGGAGAGGGTCCCCTCCCTCACCATCGATCTTACCATCCATCCAACGACCAGGTCTTCCACTCGCTGCAAACTCAGAAAAAGACATTATCCCTCCATTGAGTAGATGACACCCCGGTCGCAGCAACTGGTCCAGGCTGAGGAGCATGTCGCGAACCGTCGTTCATTCCCTTCGTCTCAGCTGCCGTCTGTTTTCCACCGCCAGGGTTGTGTTTCAGCTTCAGCAACAGCTGCCTCATTCGAGTCAGATCTGTTGCTTTGCCGGGCTTAGGCTTGTTCACTACTACAGATGCTGCCCCTCCAGATTTCTTCTTGTCCGCTGCTTTGTCCGCTCCGCTTTTAGTGGCAGTTTTCGTCGGCACCTTCTCCTCCGGCTTCGAATCGAAATCGATCATTCCCGCCACGGTCGCCCAATAATTGCCGCCGGGGTTGGTGTACATGGACGCCTCTAGGCCAGACAAGAACACGCTTTCTTTCTCGCGATTATTCTGCCGTGCCGCCTCCATCGCTTTTTCTCTCTGTGCGGCCATATTGCTCCTCAGGCTCCCTGCTGCCTCAATGATGTCCACCTTTCTCTCTCTCTCCTGCTCCGCCTTTTCTTCCAGTTCAGCAGCTCTCTTCCTGTCTCTTATACACATCTAGATGTCTGTGCCCCCCCCCCCCACTTCTCAGCCCTGCCCGAACACCGCCACTAAACGACCGCCCAACAAACGCGTTTAATCACGTTGAACGCCATTCAAACCCGTTCAATCGCATTTAAAGCCGTTGAATTAAAAATTCAACGGCGTTTGTCGGTGCCGCCCGTGCAGATCCGCGACCATCGTCGTCCGCGCTCCGCTTCTGCTCCCGCTCCGCTCCAGCCGCCACTTCCGCTGCTCTGCCTCTCTCTCTCTCTCTCTCCTTTTGTCGTCGTCGACTCTGTTGTCGTTGTCGTCGTCGTCTTTCTCTCTCTCTCTCTCGTGCGTGCGCATTGGACGCCGTGCACAACACGCATTCGTCGCGTTCTAAGTTTCGGCTCGCGCGACAAATGAGTGCAGCCGAGTGAAACGGCCCTCTTTATAGTCGTTCCCCAAGCAGCCCGCCCCACACCGGTACCCCAAAAACGCCCTGCAGTGCCTGCACGACGTCGGGTCGTTTTTTTAACTAATTTCAGTTTAAAAAAAAAATAAAAAAAAATCATAAAGGCATGAAATGGTAAGCCACTGCACCACCCCAGGCCCTCAAAACCCCCGATACCCCCCCCCCCAAACCCACGAAATCGCAGTTTGTGAAACCCGTTTATTCGCGTCTAACGCGCGTTTTAACGCGAATTCAACGCGCGTTGAATATTTCAATGCGAAACCCGCGTTGAATCGAAAATTGGACACATAGATGAGAGCTACTTCCTTCTCCACTCGCAGGGGAAGGATTTTCTTTCGCATGCCAAGTGACTCACACTTGTGTACGGGGTTCTTGACGAGTTTCACGACGCTCCTGCCACCAAATTGCTTTGGAGTCAATCGCACGATTGGCTGACTTCACAAGCACTTTTCTTAGCCCGACCTTATTTCGAGTCATGCAAGGTTTGTCGGCATTGCAAATCCCGCAACCATCATGCGTTCAACAAGTTGCAATCATTACCGGTACCCTTTGGACAACGAGAATCGATTGCTATGGACATCACCGGGCCGTTGGCCAAGCACAAGACCGGTATGGATGAAATTCTCACGGTGGTCGATCGACTCACCAAGTTCACCATGTTTTTGCCTTGTCGCTATCACGCCAAGGCACCGGAGTTGGCCAAGGTCCTTTACGTCGGTTGGATTTGGACCAAGGATTACCCCAAGGAAATCATTTGTGACTACGACACTCGATTTATAATCGAATTTTTGTTGGTTGTCGTCAAACGATCGGGCTCATCTCTCAAGCCAAGTTCGGCTCGCCACGACGCCACCCGCAGACTGATGTTCAGATGGAAAGAGCAAACCAAACCGCACAAGTTCTTCTTCGCACTCTTGTATGCCCCAATGAAAGGGAATGGGTCGAGCAATTGTCCGACGTGGAGTTGGCATACAACTCGTCTATTCACCCGACTATCGGGACGTCGGCCTTTCAGTTCGAGCATGGTTCACCGGTCACATCTTCGTTGGACACCATCATCCCACAGACGACCAAGAGAGACGACCCTATTGTCCTCGTTCGACAAATGCAAGAGCTCCTTGTCAAGGTGCGGGGTTAGATATCGAAGGCGCAACAATACATGAGTCGTCAAGCCAATTCAACATCTTCCTTGCCCGTTGCGCGCAGGCGACCTACTTCGGGTCTCTGCCGTGAAATTCAGCCTCGAGCAAGATATCCCTTGAAAGCTCCTTCCAAAATGGATGGGGCCTTGGAGGGCTGTAGCGCCCACTGGTGATGCACCAGAAAGACCCTCATTTGTCATTCAGGTGCCCACCCACTTGCCATCTACCCGGTCTTTCATTCTTCAAAATTGACCCTTTCGTTTCTGTGGAACACGACAACTTTCCCGGGCGACGATCGCAAGATCCACCATCCATGAATGGTTTTCAAGAGGTCGACGATATCATTTTGAAGTGGCGCTATGGCAACAAGCCGACGAAGTACTTGGTACATTTTCCCTATTGTAGCCATATGGCCAACTGTTGGTTGACCCTTGTGAAACCTCCAAGCTACGGCCCCCGGCATCCTCACAAGTTACGAACGCAAACAGCAAGGCAACCCGGCACCGTCGACTCCACAGCATACTCGCATCCAGGTTCCACCGTCGAATCATCAGCTTCACCCTCGACCCGGCTCGACTTCATAAGGAGAGGGGAGTGTTACATGTTGAGCCTGCACACGGGCCCCGATTCGGGGGCCCAACAGTTGCTGGGAGCCACCAGGCCGCATGCCATTCAAGCATGCGCCCTGGAGCCCCACGGGCAGCCTTTGGGCCGCAAGGTTTGATTTGAGGCAGCATTTATTTATTTACTTATTTATTTATTTGCTGTTCCATTTTTGTCTGTTTCAGGCGTCGTTTCGGACTTGCAGTGCCTCTGAACAGACTTACGGTCTGTTAGGACCAAGGCCACGTTTTGGGCCTTCTCCATTCGTGGCCAGGCCCTTTCGGGCCAGGTTCAGTTTCGTCCGGTAGCAGACACTCCCTGCTGCATCGACAGGGAGGGCCTGGACGCCCGGTAGGGACCCAGGCAGGCCGTTTCAGGCCAGGACCAGGGGCACACCAGCCAGGCCCAGTGCCATAGATAGCTGGGCTAGACCAGTGCACCCATACAGTTCGAGCAGCTCACTCCTTGGGCGGCACACTGCTGGAGCAGTGCGATACAGCACTGCATTAGAGGTAGAGGTGTAGGTAGGGAGAGAGGCAGACGCCATGCCTGCAGCGGCGGAGATATTACCTGCAGCACAGAGGGACACATCGCCGTGCTAGTACATGGCAGCAGTTACCTGCAAGTGAGACAGCGAGGAGGACGGCATCTTTTTCTTCTTCATGTTCTCGCTCTCCATCTCTTCTTCTTCATTCTTCTTCTTCTTCTTCACCTTCTTTCAGAGAGAGAGAGAGAGAGAGAGAGAGAGAGAGAGAGAGAGAGAGAGAGAGAGAGAGAGAGGTTACAGGCAGAGGTTATGTCCGGCCATGAGGCCCGGGATCTGATTCAACATTTTTGCGGCTGACATTGATTGGACATTCGGCAGGAAGACTATTTTTGGACTTTGCTATCGCGATCTAGGTCTTCTCCCTCGTCTCCATCTTCGTCTCACCCCTCCTCCCTCACCTCATCCGTGGTATCTTCCCATGTATGTATCAGAGGGACCTTTTCTTCTATATATGCGGTCCCTCCTCTGTCACATGTTTGATGTGTGATGGATCGAGTCGTGTCAGTATCGGACAGGCCGGGTTATATCTTTGAGTCTTCCACTGCGCTACACTGTGCAATTTTTGTATGTATTTTTATGTACATTGCTTGTTGATGCTTCGCTGATGCTGTATCACCCCTGTGAGTCCTTTTCATTACTTTGCGGATCCTTGGCTCCATATACA